ATCATGTGCTTGACAAGTTTTAAGCTTTGAAAACCAGTAAAGTATATTTTTTAACAATTAAGATTTGTGTTTCAATAAAATAAAAGTCAATTGTTTACACCATATTACATCCAATGCTATGTTTTCTTCTTATGTCATGCTTCGCTTTAGAAATTAAATACCAACAAGACTTTAAGCGATTCTGTATGGCCTGGTTAAGAATCTTTGGGATGTACATATTTTTTTTTTAAATTTTCATTAGCATCGTAAACAAAGATGCCAGCATGCATTTGAATCGATTTTGTATAATCATGAACTTTCCGCTCTATATAACACATCTCCTGGTCTTTTACGGGGAAAGCAGTAAATAAGGTTTTTCCGATTGTTTAAATTCAGGCCATTGTTAGTCATCATCACGTTATTCACGCAAGTCCTCCTATATACGTTCCTGTTATAGCATTTTCAAGCACTCTTTTTTAAACTCATTTTATTTACAACTTGTCATAGATTGTCATTTCCTTAAAATGTGTATTTCATTAAAAAAAACAAAAAAAAACACACACATTGTCATTGTTTTGTTTTAACTTTGTGGTAGCTTGGTTATTATACAACTTTAAAATAAACATTCATTTGTGTTTATAATGTAAAAGAATTAGAATTTAAAAAAAAAAAAACTAAAGCGTTCTTGAATAGTGAATTAAAACTAGTATAAACCAGTGTTATGTTCAGTTACGTTTATGCAGAGCTCTTTAAATGTAAATACTGAAACGTATCGAATGAGTTCGTCTTGAGTTCATATCATTGACGTACATGGTACTTAAAGACATCTCTTTTTATCTGAAACCTCCGTCTCATTCACTATTATATATCTATATCTATATCTATATCTATCTTGCTATCTATATATATACATATATATAAATATCTATATCTATCTATTTATATATATAAATATATATATATATATAGGGCCTATATGTATATATATATATATATAGAGAGAGAGAGAGGGATAGAGAGAGAGAGAGAGAGAGAGAGAGAGAGAGAGAGAGAGAGGGAAAGAGAGAGAGAGAGATGAGAGAGAGAGACATGAATGAAGACACGATATTTTACGCAGGAGAAAAAGAGAATGGCGTACTTTTTCTAATAAAAAAAAGACTTCTAAATTGTGGGATTAACTTTAAGACGTGATAGGTACGTGCTTAGTTACCAACGCCAAGGTACACAATTTCTAGGTAGTATGCTTGCTTTGATTGTGGAAGTAATTGTAGTGACATAATGTATATTACTGATTGGCCACTCAGACATCTCTTCAATCCAACACAAAGTTATGTGTTGAAACGACAAGGTAACAGAAGTAACAAAGACATGAAACACAAGGCAACCATCGAAGTGAGGTTTTGGAGACACGCTCGACTCTCAGTGAAATACAAAGTAATATTAATACAAATTGCAATTGACCCAGAATTCACCAAACTAAATGAGAACTAATAAGTCCTTGATATGCAATCAAACACACATTTCCATTTGGGTTCAGTAAAAAAGATTATCTTATCTTACGTTATCTTATCTTATTTGTTCAGTGAGTAAGCGATCTCAAATGTGATATAAACAGATTTTTTAATTATGTGTATTGTGAAATTGAAAGGGGTCCCCATTGATTTTTGGAGGGAATAGTGGTGGGAAAATTTCGACCGCATGTACATCCATAGTTCTTAATGCGTCACTAGGCTTGAGTCACTATGACTCTTGTCATCTTTTAATGTTATGGGGGTTTTTTTAAAGTAAAAAGCCATAATCTACTTAGATAAGTAAGAGAAACTTTAAAATACTTCATAGTCGTATATTTGCATCTAAAACAACAATACTTTGAAAGCCCAAGGCGGAAAAAAAAATAATTTACAATGATAAAATCTTAACCTGATAACTGATATACTATAAATGNTATATATATATATATATATATATATATATATATATATATATATATATAGATAGATAGATAGATAGATTCTATTTAAATTTATGGTTTAGGAGTAAACTACAAAAGCATTCACTGTACACAAGTCAGAATGTAATTACAGGTGTCAATGGTACATATTTCAGTTTTACAGTAGTCAGTGGTACAGGAGTCAATTGTACAGGAGTCAATTGTACCTGATTCAGTGGTACAGGAATTAATGGTATTTGAGTCAATGGTACTGGAGTCATTGGTACAGATGTCAGTTTTAGGGAAGTCTGTGTTCAAAAAAGTCAACGGTACGTGAGTAAGTGGTACAGGAGTCAGTGGTACAGGAGTCAGTGGTACAGGAGTCATTGGTACAGGAGTCAGTGGTAAAGATACCAATCGAATAGAAATGAATGACAGAGATGTAATGCTGAAGGAGTCAACAAAAATTTCATTAGTCCATATTTGATCATACTAATATCGGGCCTACGGCGACTGAGTCTATGGTACTGAAGTGCGTATTTCATGAGTGCCCCGTACATAAGTGAAGTGAGGCCACATGTTTAGACGCATACGTCAAACCACGTCAGTTGGACGAAGTGATTTGGAGTTTCATTTGACATGAATTATATTTATAGAGAAAATATATACAGTTCAAGGACAAGTCTTTTGTGAACCTTGGTCGTACTCCAAATGTCTTGTTGTCACGCTCATGAATATTTAGTAAAAGTAAAATATTTTATTTGATCTTACTGCAGATACAGATAAGTACAAAAACATAAATATTCAGATTTACAGTGGATACTGCTGCCAAATAACAGTGGAATGGAAAAAAAAAACATTACACACTTAGTAGAAAATATACGTTAAGGAATGGAGATGGTTTTTTCTAGTCTACTTAATGTATACCCCCCCAAAAAATGGCATTAAAAATTCTGTCTTCTAAATATGTTGGCTCTAATGGCCACATTGAATTAGTACCTTGTTTAATCAAGCTTTTGTGTTTTAATATTTTAGAGAGGGGGAAAATATACGTTCCTAAACAAGAAAAACTGGTTCTCTGTTGGTGTATTTAGAGGTAAATCATTTTTTTTTAAACACAAGATACAAATACTTGACCCCATTTCCTGTAGCTTTATGTAACACGCGAAGACACTTGTATGAGACCATAAAGATTTCTAGGAAAGTTCGTGCTTCAACAAGTTGGGTTTGTTTGTTATTGTTTTTTTTTTTTTGTTGTTTTTTTTTTTAGGGGTAATTGTAAACCAAAAAAAAAAGTATAAGAAGAAATAAAAAATTTTAAAACCAAAAAAAAAAGTATAAGAACGAATAAACACTTTTATATAAGAAACTATTAAATTTAAATTGTTCGCTAAACGCAAAACATTAAAATTCATCAATTGAAAAGGGGGGGGGGGCGGGATAGGTGGACACATTGTTTGCTTGAAATATGTATTTGCTGGCATCCGTCCGTCACAGTAAGGCCCAAAAGTACGCCAAACTCTTAATAGTGGTACATCAAACACCATTCAATTTACAAGAGCTGTTTTTATTTCTTCTGAATTTATTATGACAACATGCAGATTGATTCTATATTGGGTAGAAAATCAAACTTTTCACATTCAAAAGGCAAGTTATTCCAAAACCGAATTTTTTATGATAAAGAGCCTAGCGGTCGCCTGAATTCTGGTGACACTCTGCTACTTCCTAGTTATTTGTTAATTAGCTATTTAATGCAATTTTTAAAAAAAGATTATTTGTTATATATATATTTTGCTAGTGGTGTGGCTGCTTCTATTTCCGGATAGCGCGCAAAACATAATTCCAGATAACTAGGCTCAATGACATTTTTTTTTAATGAACAACTGCGTTTGATGCGTAATATTTTATTTTATTTTCGGAAAAATGAAATCGACCCAACTTAAATACGATGCAATAAATATTGGGTATAAAAGCGCCTGGGGAAATATTATAAATTGTACAATTAAATACTTTGGAGCTCTTAAATATCAGAGCCCCACACCTCTCCCCTTCTTTTGCAGTCGCGGTTGTTGCAGAACCTACGAGTGGGCTCTGACAGGAAGCGGTGTTAAATGATGGGCACGCTTTAGGCCAAACGTCATCGGTTGAATATTTCGACAATGTCACATTACAGTTTATGGCCTTTTAAATATACAAAGTTATGTTAGTTATTTGGTCCTTGCAATAATCTTAAACGAGTAATCATACTAAGCCGGTGATAATCTTTAAGAGGCAGTTGTTTGGTCCAGTTCTCATACTTTGAAGATAATATATTTAATCAGTTTGACCCTGAATGTTGATTCTGCACGCACCTGTTTATTTTGCGAAATTTTAGGGAAAATGATACCATCTGTTGCCTTTATCCAAGCGACGATTGGAACCTGCTCCGTCCACTGCTACGAGAGTGCTTGGTTAAGGGATATATAATTTGGCGGTGAACCGTCGGTCCGTGGACAGGCGCTAGCCTGCGGATATTTTCAATGCATTTCTTTTCTCTTTTTTTTTGTTTGGCCACAAGACATACATAGACTTTCTTTGAAAAAAAAATCACGAACAGTTGCGTGTTTTCTGAAAAACGTTTAGACACTCTTACAGCTAACATTAAGGTAGCATTATTTGTAAAAAAAATAGTAAAAAAAATGTTGATGCATAAAGGCAATCATTATCAATATGTTTCATAGGTCTAAAAGTCACTTTCAACCACTTTTTATTCTTAGCTGTCTAAGACTAAAGCGATTAATTCAGGCTGATACAACGGTGTATATGCATTTAACTGGCTGGTTTTTTTTTATTTAAAGAATTCTACACACGACATATGCCCCCGACTATAATTGGATCACGTAACTTGGTTCATAAACCGTAGTTTTATATGTTATCTAGTATTAAACATTAGTGTTACCGTATGGGTTAAAATGTCAAATACAACATAATATTTTAATGTTATTCTATATAAATATCAACACTTGAAAACTCCAACACAAATTTAAAATAAAATATATTAAGTTTTATTATTGGGAGTTATACATAAAAATGTGAATAATGAATAAGATTTGCGTGTAGTTATAGTGAAGTCAGTAAGCTATGTTAAATAGCCAGTTAAAAAATCATAATAATAAAAAAAAAAATGTAAATATTGATTTGTCGGTAAACTATCTACTCATGTACATGCTTTCTTTACAAGTTCTTTCTTTCCGTTGAAATAGAAAGATATTTTTTATCAATGAATCATAACAAAAATTGTAAATGGAATCGAGCTTTGAAAGTGCAAAGTCATCAAAAAGCAAACAAATAAATTTAATTATAAATGATGCATGTGATTTTTTTTTTATATATGTACGAGGTCTGGGATTAGATATAAATATCAACTTTCGCTACATGGCTGTTTATGGTTCAGTTTATCCAAAATTTGGGGATTTAAAAAATACAAATGTGCGTCTGAAAATTACCATATATTAAATGGGAGGTGAAAACGTTAAAAATATGTTTTGGTTACGTAAATTTACGCCCTTTAATTTCATTGGACATGTATAAAGTATACTTAACGCATTCCACTGGTTGGTAATAATCAGCACAGAAAGGTATCAACGGTCGCCAACACACTTTTCTGGCATAAATTGCAGATGTAGGTCGGGCCGGCACACTCCCTGCACATCGTGAAGTGACCGCACGGGAGGAAGGTGATGCCCCGTGGCTTGTCGTGACACTTGACGCACAGCTTGCAGTCCTCCAGCAACTTGTTCTCATTCGTGACCGCAAGCAACGCCTCCACGATGCGCGAGTTAGCTGTCCTCTCCTCCGACTCTGCACCAACACGTCCACCTACTCGGGTGTTTTGCCGAATGAGAGATGCCTCTTTTTGTGAACCGGTGCGACGCGTTTCACGTTCTCCACTCATTTTATTGCTAGGGGCTCCTACGCTTGTTGAAGCGAGGTCCTCCGGCGACCCCGGAATTAAACTTGAATTATCCGAGAGACTGCCGAGTAACAGAGCGTTCACCGTTGAAGTACTTGACAGTCCATCAACATCATCCTCTCCGCTGTCTTCCAAGTTAGTTTCATCACCAAGCGTAACATTTTCTCTAGACACTTGTCCGTCATGGGGAACCGTCGGAAATATTTCCGAAGACGCCAAGTCTTCAAAATCAGGTAATCGAAATTCTCTAAGTCTTACTGTAAGTCTATCGATGAAATTTTCAGGTAAAACATCTTGTAGTTGAACACATTTATTAAACAACGAAGAACCATGTATTTCCTCACCGATTCGCTCCATTTCAATAACACAATATATTAAAAAATATAAAGGACAGGGTTCTATGCCCTGTGCTGAAGTAATAGCTATTTTGTACTTGCCGAACAAATCTCGTATTTTAGTTAGTTGTATTTTAACTATTTCTTGAATTAATACCTTTTCATCTATTGGCTGTAAAGTGTTATATCCCCTCGTACTAGAAGATAGTATTGGCGAATCTTCCGAGCTAAGCGATGCAACTATAGCAAGTGCCTGCGATTTGAATGTTCCATTCGCTAAGTATGTAGGCGACAAGCCCTCTAAACTTGTTAGTAACTTGCTATTCGCCGCCATGATCACCAAAATAGTAGTTTCGTGATCCCTTATCGTAAAAACAAAAAGTGAATTAATTCCCGTTGATTTATACTTGAGAACATTAATTCTAATATAAGTGTTGTTATTTTGTTGTTATTTTTTTTGTTTTTTGTTGTTATTTTTTAAAAAAATTTTTTTAAAGATGTTTGGTCTGATGCAGGGTATGGCAGGATGCGTCTTGATTGATTATGAAGTAAACAGAAGTGTGTCTGACTGAAATAAATGTAATACAAAGGATTTAATTCATTTTTATAGACGTTGATATATGTATTTCATTGATCAATTTACTTCCTTAAATTAAATTGGAAAAAAATCATAATTAATTTGGATATTTATTTAGGGTGCTCTGCATAAGTTCAATCAGTAAACGTTTAAAGTACAGAGTCATAGTAGGTTGAAGTCATGTATTGTGTTAGCAGCTTGGTGTAAGTCCTTTGGTTAAGTTAGTTAGCAATAATAGGTGAGAAGCAAAATTTGAAATAATTCGAAAAAAAAAAAAAAAAAAAAAAAAAAAAAAAAAAAATAAAAAAAAAAAAAAGTGAAGCAAATTTGAAACGATCAGAGAAATCTTTATATTCATATTACAGGTCTATCTTTTTGCGCAAGAATTAGACAAGCCGTTTATGTTAGAGCTTGCTTCATAAAAACGCATTTCTGAAACTATTATTGAGTTGCTATTTTTTTTTAAAAATTACCTTTTTAACCACATTATTTAAACTATTGTGTCATACCCAATGCTTGTTGGAAGCTACAGAGCAAACGATTTTTTTTTACACAGCATCTTCTTCGTAAACCAGAGACAGCACGATGGGTCTTTTAATTTTCGTATTCGAAAATAAGTTTATTTTAAATTGTTCGAGTGAATGGGTGGTGGCGGCTAGGTGCAAGAAAAACTAAGATAATTGTTGAATTTCAAGAGTAACTTGGAGTCACGAATCAACATTCCCCCTCTCAAGAAATCTGAACAAGTTCTAAGAAATCGAAACTGAGAACAAGGAAGCCGGAAGCATAGATGACATTTTTTTTTATTAAAAAAACCCAAAAAACTGTCTGTAACCCTTCAAACAGTGGTGACGCTACACCAGGTCCCGCCGGGTCCCAGGACCTGTTAAAAAAAAAAACTTGGAACCTGGCAAATGACCTCGTAAATTTTTATTAGTTACTAATATTGTATATATGCTCATTAAGCGTAAACTACATTACATGTAAGAGAACTTCCATTTTAAATGCCTTTATATGTTTAAATTTTGATCGACAACAAAAGTCAATATAGCGTCATAAAAGTTTATTTTTAATTCATTTATTTGGGACCTGCCAAATTTTTTTAAGACCTGCAAGGGACCCCGCCATGTTAAATTTGATGGCGTCGCCACTGCCTTCAAACTATGGTTTTCGACAATTGATATGTTTATATTAAATCTTCTCAAATGTAACTTATTGTTTCAATGTATATACTCTTAAATTTCACTAATTTCCGCAATGAGTTAAGATGTTTTTTTTTAAAAAAAGCTAAAAATTTTTTACTCTAAATTAATATATATTTCATTGCTACATTTTTAGTATTTTTGTTGTAGTCTCTTGACTACCAACTTTTTGTTGTAGTCTCTTGACTACCAACTTGTATCATTCGATTGCCCTTTGTAAACCTTACATGATACGTTTAGACACAGAGATTGAAACACACCTTTTAATTTGCGTTATAGCACATAGCACCCATCAAATCATTTACTTTTTAAAAGTTTAGAAACGAAATTCTTCAAATGCACAATTTCACTAACGTAGTTGATAAAATCTATCAATCAAAGCGTGTACATGTATATGTCGTTTGCTTATTAAATGAATGCTCTTTTAGATTTTCATTTTAACTGATACTTTCACATACAATTTTGATATTTTTGTTCCTTCTTATTAAGCCTGTCGATCTCAAAATTTGTCCGGGCACCGCCCCTCTTTTGGCTCCTAAACTCACCCTTAGGAACTCCTTGACGAACCCAATTATAGGCATTCTAATAATAAATTTTTCACGACCGCTAATGGATGATAATTGCATTGGACATTAATATGATTTCTGTTTGCTTTGAACAAATTTGGTAAAACTCACTAAAATCTACATTCACCCTGATGCAATGATGAGAATGTAACAAGGAGCATTCCACTACGGAGGATATGATAATGCATGTCATGCTCAAGACAAAAACTTTGTCGCCAAACTTTAAACTTTGGTTAAACATCATTAGCGCTGAATCGGCCCTGCTACAACAAATGCTTTCATCACATAACTGGGATTCAAAACCCAACATACGACTTTTATATTGATTTTGAATAGAGTTGTCACTTTATTTCAAATTTAGAAACATTGTTTCATGTATATAAGTAAGGTCGCATTCCTTTGAAAATGCAATTTTATGATAAATAATGTCGTGTTTTATATCTTGTGTGATTTTTTTATTTTGGAGCCAGCACCTTCAAAATCCTTTATTCCCAAGAAAATACGTTTAAAAAAACAGCAATTTATGTTGCATCGCTTTCAACACAAAGCGTCAGGAATTCTCAATACGTTTGAGCATGTTCAAACAATTTAATTTACGGACGATGAGTATGATAGTTAAGTACTTTTATCGCGCCTGACAAAGAGACATTGCCAACGTGCCGCTTCGCAGTAATTGAGAGCACCAGATGTTAGCGATAAATAACACAACGAAAAATATAAAGGTAATTTCGCTCTGACCCTTTTCCCTCTTGTATAGGCAACATCGAACGGTAAATTTATTGGTAGCGCTCGTTTCAATACAAAGTATAATTTTAATGAATTTTTCCTGAATTGGCAGAACTTCTCTAAAGTTAAAACTATATAATTTTCAGTTTTATTGCCATGCAAAAAATGTGCCAGTGACAACAAGCAAAGCTTCCTTTTCTCGCATCAACGAAATTTATCCAGTAGAAATGCCATTTCCGTAAAACTTTGCTGTGCTATACGACTAATCTCTATTTCCTCAGCTTTGATGTGGCTATATATTAGAAGCTCACTAATAGCAGGTTGGTTGAATACTTCATTGATTGTTAGTAACTTTTTTTTCTGATTTATCAAATTAACGACACAATCTTAAGTCATAATCCACGCAATCCAGCTTCTTAACTAAAAGCTTAGGAAATCATGTCTTTTCAGTATGCGGCTAATGTGTTAAGTCATTTAAAATTTCAAGTTCTCCTGTCGGCAGCTCACATTTATAACCAAAAAAAAAAAATTGAAATGTATTTAAATAAATGCCGTTATATCAGTTTGAAAATTAGACCAAACATTATTTTCTTCTCTAATCTGTTATGTTATATCTTTCATTGGACGCTTCCTTGTCAGCGATAATTAAGGTCACACATGGATACTGTAACACGTTATAGTCCTCTGTGGATCGGCAAAACCCCACTGTAAGAACCACTGTTTTAAGTCTTTCGTTTTAATAGCAACCTAAAAGTTAAAAAAAAACTAGCCTACCCATTGGGAAAACCCTTTTGGGTCACAAGTTTTTTAAAAAAAATTTCCTATTTCATTTTTATTTTTTCCTTGATATCGAAATTGATAGTCTAAAAACATGGTTATTCTTATCCGTTTATATTTTTTGTTCTTAAATGAACTAATTAATGATTCTCCATATCCCATAATTGAAACGAACTTTTTGTTGTAGAATTATATCATTATTTTATTCAACCCCACGACTGTTATCAGTTTCAAAGATACACTTGGGCCAACAATATTTTAATATTTTGTTAAAAATAATTTTCTGTAGCTCCCAACATTTACTGTAAATATACCATTTGAAAAAAAAAGAAGAAATATTTACTTTATGTGGAAATAATGTTAACCAAAAATATTTTGTTTTAAATTCCAAACATTTTTTTTTCCAAGATTGATTTCTTTCATTCGACTTTATGCAGCATTTAACTATACTGCTTATCTATACATATTCGTAGTGAGATCAGCCCCTAAATTTAGATCACTGTTTTTTTTTGTTTTTTTTTTTTACATTTTGTTTTATACAGCTTCGCTTATTATTATAGCTGACTAATCCCCACCTACCAAAGTACCGCATAACACCCTGCTCATTATTTATTTTTTTACATTTTGTTTTATACAGCTTCGCTTATTATTATAGCTGACTAATCCCCACCTACCAAAGTACCGCATAACACCCTGCTCATTATTTTAATTACAAATTTATTAGTTTAAAAAAAAAGAAAAAACTATTCAATTACCATCTGTGTATAGATATAGATATATATATATATATATATATATATATATATATATATATATATATATATATATATATATATATATTTACCTTCATCAAGCAGTCGTTTTAGTCGAAAAACTATTGAAGACCACAATTAACGGGAAAACAAACAGCTAACTCACATGTGTGTCTCCTTAGGCAACCGTAAGAGAAAACTGACGTTCAAAAATTCTCACTTGGTATGGACAGGTCCAACGAGCTGTTGGATTTTCCCGAAATTATATCGCGCTATTCGAATTCTGCGGTAAACCATTGTTTTATTTTTTGGCATTATCAAAAGACTACTACAACAAAAATAAAATAAATAAAAAAAGCAACATTCTTTCAAAGATTCTACCTTATTAAGAGTCTTAAAGATAACCAAATTTCGTTGAAATGACACAATAAAAAAATAAATAAATAACTCCAGCATTACATTTACGTGTTTAGATTAATTAAGGCAAAAAAAAATTTAACTTGTTTTTTTTTGTGTTTGTTCTTCAATGACTTTGAGTCAGACATGCTCTAAATACCCAAGTGTTTCTTAAAATTTGTGTACACATTTACTTGAAAACTTACATAGTATTAAAAAAAATTGACATCCATAAATGAAATTTAAGATACAGTTTACGCAAAATGAAAAGAGAAAATGTGTCAATTGTAATTCTTGATTTGAAAATCGCTGACTAATCTGATAATTAATTATATTTAACTTAAGGTTTTCATTGTTTTTAATTTTAATTTATTTTTGTCGCGTTGATTAAACGTGTACGGTAACAATGTAGCCGTCATTATATTTAAGATTAAACAACCCATGGGAACAAAGTATTTTGTATAATTCCTTTTTATGCATTTTTCAAATTATTTTAATTGTATATTAATATTCTAATGCCCCACCGACTTTTACACCACAGATTTATCTCACCAACTATTTCAGAAAAAAAAAAAGAAAATGTTACTCTCCAAAAGCACTTGTGATATTTTATTAAAAGAATTTTATTTAGCTCAGATATCGGTAATATTTTAGTTCACGAAATAATTACCATCGTATTTTCGATATCTTCCTTTTGAAACAAAAGAAAAAATATTTTTTTGGGGGGGTTGGGGGTAAGGGCTGAAAATTTAATAGAATGTGTTGTCATCATCGGCAACGAGTCTATGTGCCATGTTTCAGCTTAATATGTTGACGGGAAGTGCATCCCTCAGCCGTCCGAATATTTTGACATTAACGAAAAAAAGTAACTCTAATATAAAGGATTTTTTTTTTTTTTAAAGGGGAAAACTTAATATTAAACTTAACTTTTATTACTTTTTTCTTTACAATAATCTTTTTTTTTTTTTTTTTAATGATCGATTTTTAAAAAAAATAACGGTTTTGTTGGTGAGAGCGAGAGACTGGCGATCAAAGTCAATAAAACCAAAGGCCCAAAAAAAATAACTTTAATATAAAGGGTTTTTTTTTTTTTTAAAGGGGAAAACTTAATATTAAACTTAACTTTTATTACTTTTTTCTTTACAATAATCTTTTTTTTTTTTTCTTTAATGATCGATTTTTAAAAAAAATAACGGTATCGTTGGTGAGAGCGAGAGACTGGCGATCAAAGTCAATAAAACCAAGGTCCCACTTAACCGTTTACAACTGCAGCTTGAACAGGGACTAATTCCTAAAAAGCCAAAGGGGTTTTAGTTCAGGACGAAGTACAGCTGATCGTGGTGTTTGCAGGACGTCGGCTCGAAGACAATGTCAAAAGCAACACAGCAAACCTGCTCCATCACCTCTCTTGATCTGGACACGGTCAATGGAGATGGCCTGCTGAAGATAATAGAGAACCTTGTCTGCCCTAGTAGATCTATTGCAATAGTGTGTCAAGTCCATGATGGTATGATGGCCATTGTCTTGGATACTTGAGATTTTCTTCAGCAAACCTAACATATACCTTTGCTAGGACCATGTTAAAAACATCTGCTCTAAATTTACCTAAACAATCTAGAGGGAATACATTCAAGCCTCTAACCCAACAGTCCAAAAGAAGGTATTAAAATCATAATAACATTATAATTTAAAAACGCCAATGCAAAAAAAAAAAAAAGTTGCACCCACTGCTGCCAGATAATTTTTAAACTCGTATGTGGAAGAATAATTAAGACTACTATTTTTTTTTATTGCACATATGATTTATTTTTTAGGTTTTGTAGAGTGAATTTATTTATAATTTGGGTTTGAATTAATTGTGTTTTTTTTAACATATTTTTTTTTCTTACAATAAATTTTTTGTTTAATCAACAGCAGGACCGTTTAATTTCCTCAGCGTGATTTTGCATGTGAATCATTTGGCTTCAAAAGCGTGACGGACTAGCTGCATCGCATTTATGTAAGTCCTCCATGTTTTTTATTCCTTTCTTCATAACAAAAAGTATCGCGTATCAAGCCATCTAGAATGTAACGATATTTCGGTTCGCTCTCGGCCTTCTTGGCCTTAAAAAAAATTGCACAAGGCTTAACGAAAGAAAATGAATTTAATAGAAACTTAAGGCTTTTAAATAAAGATCTTGGTTATTTCAATCTTAGTTTTTTTCAGGTTATTACACTTGTGCATTCCTCCAGATATCTTCATGTTATCGATCTTTGCTGAATGATTGGCGATTTACTAGTCACAAATTTGTCTTTGTCCTTGCAACAGAAAGCTCCCACCGTGACAAAGAAAAGAACAAGAAGTGATTTTTTGCAAATCAAACAAGAAGAGATTTTTTTTTGCAAATTTAAAATCGATATAACTGCTGGGGGGATGTTGTCTTAGTGACTGTCTAGCTATTATCTTGCAGATGAATATTGGCATGTGTTGTTTTATGGTTGCAAGGTATGAAAGACTGAGAATGGGTATTCTCGTATGTATTTTATGAAATGTTGCATTTTGTACTTCAATATGGTATGTACCGCGCTTCGAGCCTTTTGGGGATGAAGCGTGATTTTCAAATAATCTTTATTATTATTTTTATTATTATATTCATGCGTTATCTGGGTCAGGATACTTAAGTGAAAGTGGATCATTCCCGTGTAGTTGATTTAGTAGCTAGTTTATTTCAGCTGAGCTTTCTTTAAGAATGACTGCTAAGCGATTGACTCTCACTATGCGCTCATTTTATGTCCCAATATTGCACAATCTTCTTCTCATCAAAACACGAAATTTTGATTAAATTAAATCCATTTTTATCCCGGACCCTGTAAATATATCTTACATCATTTTATAAACTCGTAGGAATTTTTTCCCAAGTGAAATGTATTTTAAAAAGTACTTTTTTTTCTGCAATAAAAAATCAAATATCGCATTTTTTCCATTTTTTCCGAAACTAAACATAAATATTTGCGTTTCTATGGAAATGATTGAAACAATTTCATCGTCTCAGAACCTTTACTCGACATATGGATTTAGATCTTTCGTGAAGATCAAGGGACTTTAGAGATTAATTTATTCATTACTAACACGAAAAGCATCTTTTAAAAATAATGATGTCACCCAAGTTCAATCAAATAAGCGTAAATAAGACAAAGAAACTTTTGTTGAGGTAAACAGCAGATTTATCGTTTAGTTCATTCGGACTTTTTACAACACTTATAAAATTAAGTAAATAGTACCGTATACATAAATCTCGTTTCCATTACTATGGAATATGTGAAGGTCTATTTTTAGCCACATTCACTTGCCCCCCCCCCCCTCTTTTTCTTTTGCTTTGACATTTACGTCACCGAGAAAATGTGTTGTGCCACTCCTTACCACCCGCCCTTGATTGGGAAAAGGTTGCTTACATTCGAATGAATTCTATATGTTCTAAAGAATGCTATCAGATGACGAAATTTCTAGATTTTCTTCACTAACATGGCTTTGATTTAATCCATTTAATCCCTATATAGGCCGACTGCTTCCCTAGACGAGGAAGAGAGATTTTTGGAATTTTTTCTAACATATACGACATCTTACACAATTGAAACTAGTGTGCTCTTTATGTGTGAGTGTGTGCAGGTTGATATTTGTATTTCTCGTGGGGTGTACCTTTCCATTTGCTGTTCTGTAATTTGATACAGTTTTTTTTTTATTGATGTGTGTATGAATTTCAATATTTGATCGAAATTTAAAAGTATAATTAAACTGAGTATTTGTTAGTATCACAAACTTTCCTATCGTTTTGTCTGACGTACTGTTTTTCCTCGGTCATTTGTTACGTACTTTTCATTCTACGAGTCAAATAACAGATCAAAACCATAACTGTAGATAAGATAATACTTACGTTCTCCTGTGTATTTGCTATTAGCTATTCTGTATATGATCAGGTTTTTTTTCCTTTGTGTTTGCAAGTCACTGGGCGATATGTCATTGCCTCCTCCCCCCTCCCAAAGTCATTCCTTCAATAAATATGGATGTCATCGGGATGATCCGTCTGAATGTAGGTCTAGGAACCACATGTAATCTAAATACAGCACACTGTGCCAGTACGGGTATATTAAGAAATGTGTTAACCTCCGGCTTTAATTACCATTTCAATGAACGTGAGGGTTTATAGAAAGCTGTTGGTGAACATACGGTTATAGTTGTAGCTCTTTTTGAAACGTACGTATGTAGTTAGCCCATTGTGAATGTACGGTTATACTTGCACTTCACCACTTGAGGCTATTTCAGCTAATGACCTAAAGACGCATTTTTTTAAATCGTGTCAAAAGCCTTGTCCATTGCGAAGCAAACGTTGAGTCTTTCTCGAAATATCATCCATATTCTATCAGATATCTTTTCTGGCTACAGCGTTAAAAAATTTAAGCTAACTAAATGACTGGGATTGAGCTACGTTAAAGATAACGTCTTACAAATTAAACACTCGAGTGTGCCTGTTAATATGTTTTATGAAAAGACTTAAATTATATTCTTCTTCTTCTATATCTTAAAGGCCCACGATCAATTTATTGATCATTTTGGCTCCTATGCATGTAGATGGGATTTGCAATGTTTCTGTTACTGGTGTTGATGAGGAAATCATGGACTAGGGGTTTGAAGGCTTGAGGCAATAAACACAAATGTGTCTAGTGTTGTCGCCTCAACCGTTCCTTTTGAAAGATGGTTCCAGTCAAGATTGTCTTGGGCAGGAATGAGCAGCTTCTATACTGGCTTCTTG